GAAGTAAACAGCCGCTTAGAAGGGGAAATGGAAGGAAAGTGCTTGAGCAGGGAGAAGGGAAGAAAAGCACCTGGGTGAGGAAGAAAGGTGCTTGAGAGGGGAGTCATCAACCAAGATGGGTACAAGTACAGACAGCTTTGGCCCTGGTCGGGCTATGTGGACTTTCATGAGAGTCTTCCACCATCATGTCGACGTTTCAGGTGTGATAGAGCCAATTAGATCGAGTTTTTCAGTCCTTGTCTGGTTATTGTCACAGCAGTCATTAACTGTCATGGCACTGGTGGGTGTGTCATTTAGCATGTTAGTATTTTAAAATGAGTGTATAATGAGGCTCAAGGTCCACTGGAAGTCAAATCCTTCACCATCTTGGACTGAGCAGGTTCTAACCAGTTCTTGTTTCTTTGCAGCTGCCTCCTGAGACTTAGATAAGAGTAATTGGTTTCTAATTGAGGGAGGGGCAGGGGTATGATCCTGGGGGCATTAGCCTTGGTAACAAAAAGGAGCGTTGCTTTTAATTAGAATGCCTGCAATCTAGTACACCCAGCATCCCCCTCAAAAAAACCATCTCCAAAGAGTCTGTTCAGCCATGAAAATTTTATAGGGAAATGACAGAATAATCTCAATTAATCGTTGAGATAGGATGTCGGAGTCATCACCATTCCCCAGTGCCTGCTGGCTTGTCCTAATCAACTGCTTGAGCCTGCTCTTCTATGACTCCAGGAAGCCTGGGAGGCTTCAGGTTTTCTATGAACAAGAGGCAGGGGTTGGGGGTGCCCACAGGGTCCTGCTCCCTTTCACTTTCATTGTATCTTCATATTGTGGAAGGGACTAGGGATATCTCTGAAGCCTCTTTGATAAGGCACTAATTCCATTTATGAAGGCTCCTCCATAATTTAAGCACCTTCCCAAAGGCTCCACCTCCTCATACCATCACATTGGGTATTAAGATTTCAACATATAAATTTTGAGGCGATTCAAACATTCAAACTATAGCACCATGGAATATGGATTTAGGCTGAACTGTCCTTGTAAAGTATTGTTAATTTTGGAAAAGATAGTATAGAATAGAAAAGAAAAGAAAAGGAAGAAAGAGAAAGATTAGATAGTGTATGTGTTTTGTTCAACTAATTGCTTACAAGAGATTGTCATACTGGACTGTGCCAAGAGGTTGTATAGACCTGATCTCTTTATGCTGGAGATAAAAAGTGGGAAAGGGAGTCATTAGGACTGGACTCAGTACACTAATACTTAGATTGGACCATTAGTGCCCTTCATATAGTGTTAGGACAAAATTACTCAGATCTGGGAAATGCACTGCCACATTGGGTGTTCTAACTCCTTCTAGCAGTAGTACACTGAGCTACTGGGTTTTTTTTGTGGGGGAGAGAAGGTAATTAGGCTTGTTTATTTTTTAGAGGAGGTACTCGGGATTGAACCCAGGACCTCATGCCTGCTAAGCATACGCACTACCACTTGAACTATCCCCTGCCCCCCTAGCAGTAGTACACTGTATTGTTTTTATTTCATCCCTGAATCTACAGTGTATTTTGTTAATTGTTTTATTTTTGCTGTGCCTTGGAGAATTAAAGGAAATCTGTGTCCATGCTAGGAGAGAAACTAGTTGGGTAGAGTAGTATTCTGGAGAAGCTGGTTATCAGATGGCAGGAGTGACCTGCTAGACTCCAATAGTGGTGACAAATGATCAGGAAAACTGATTTATGGAATGTGTAATAGGTCTATGGGAGGGAAATCTACAGGAAGAATGGGTTTCTTACAGCTTATGGATACAGATTCATAGTTTTTGTACTTTGGCTATTAAAGAAAATGTGACCTTGTTATGTAATCCCACATTTGTGTGGTCTGTGGATTATTGAGGCCAAGTCATTTGTTCCTTTACTTATTCATCCATCCCACAAATATTTATTGGTTGCCTATTATGTGCTGGGACTGAGCCAGGCATGTAGATACATTGATGACTAACAGAGTCCCTGCCCTTTAGGAGAAGACTCCTGGAAGTTAAATACTAACAAATCAAATTGTAAGGAGATGCAAAGGGAAATAGGAGAGGAAACAGAGAAATGAAAAAATAATAGATGGATATATATTACTATGTAAACATTTAAATATCTATAAAATGAAAATCAATAAAGAAAGCTAAAAAATAAAGCAGACTGAGGAAATTACTTGTACTAAATATGCCAAGTGAGCTAATGAAATTTTAAGTACACCAGTCTTTAGTGAAAGCTAAAGCCCAACACCAAATCCCTAAAGAACAAAAGGACACTAATAGCATTCCAATAAGAGAAAACTTAAAAATATGCCTTCAGAGGGGAGGGTATAGCTCAGTGGTAGAGTGCACACTTAGCACACATGAGGTCCTGGGTTCAATTCCAGTACCTCCATTAAAAAAAAAATTTGTAAAGTAAATAAATAAATAAACCTAATTACCGCCCCTCTAAAATACTTTCAATAGCAATTAAGTAAATTTTCCTAAAACAACAATAAGCTAATATCTCTCACTTAATGAATTTAAAAGTGTGTATCAGAGAAGTATAAGAAAAATCATAACATTTAAAAGAGGTTATGGAAAAATTAGCATTGCCATTGCCATTGTTGTTATGAATTAATTCTTAAATCTTAAATTCTTAATTTAATTCTTAAAAACTGACTTAGCATTAAATATTGACAGCATAAAAATATAAATGCCCTTTGACAACTGAAGATTCATCCTAAGACAAAATTTCACTGTTAATAGTCATCACCATCTAGAATGCTTACTTCATGCCAGGCACTTTTCTAAGTGCTTGACATATATTAACTCATTTAATCTTCATTGCAGTTATATGAAGTAGGTACTTTTATTTTCCCCATTCTATAGATGAGGAAACTGAGGAACACCAAGTTTAAATAAATTGCTTAAGATTACATGGCCAATGGCAGAGCTGAGATTTGAAGCTCCTGGGACTGTATTTATAATCGCTGCATCATGATATTTCAATGAAAGGAAAAAGTGCTATATAAAAAGATGCTTGTAGCATCATCATTTATAATGTAAAAAAAAAAACTGGGGCAAAACTACACGTTCCACAAGGGGAATGGTTAAATACTCATTCAATAGATTCAACGAGAGTTGTTCAGAACTTTTGTTTTCCCAGGGTGTAATAGTACAGGACACCAATTTCACAAAAGTGTTACTTGTCGTTTTGCAAACCCTTTCTGTGTCCCTATATCTTTGAGCCATTCATAAAGATCAGGAGGCCCTGTCCCAATTGGGCACTCTATTATTTGCTGCTGCAGCAGCTCGTGGCTCCATATATTATGTCATTAAATGGACTGAATGTGGCTAGAGTGAAAGTTCTTTAAGCGTATAAATTACCATCTTCCCTGGATACTTCAGCTACATTTAATGAACTCATACATTACTTTGACCTCATGCTCTCACCCTTGTTACTTCACCCAAGTAAAGCTGTTTCTTACCATAAATATATTCACTTAGTTATCAACAGATTTCTTACCTTAAAGGGCTGTGAAGATCTAAGTAGGGTTTTGTGCTGTAAATGTTAGTGAAAGAGTTTCAAAATATTATAAAAGCAATTTTATTTACACAGAAGCAGAAGAAGAAACAAGATAAAGAGAAACAAATTATGTAGTTTAGCATGTCTTTTCATATTTTTTCCTATTAATTATAAAAATAATACATGCCATTTAATAGATGTCTACCATGTGCCAGTAACTATGCTAAACTCTCTACATAATTTATTGCTTTTAATTCTCTCAACAGCCGTAAAAGTAGGTATTATTTATTATCACTATGTCACAGATGAAAACACAGAAGCTTGGAGAAGCTGAGTAACTTGCCCCAGGTCACACAATTCATAAATGGAAGAGGCAGGACTTAATCCCAGATCTGTCTGAATCCAGAAATCAAGCTGTTGATCATACCAATACTATCTTTCCTTCCTCTTCTTTTCCAAAAATAAATTTAGATTTACTTTCTCTAATGTTTAGTTCTATGATGAAGTTCTAACTCTCTGGTTACAAATAGCATTATAACCAGTTGCCTTGGAAATGAAGAGGGTATCATAAATTAAATCTAGAAGTGGCTTACCATTTTGAATATGAAAAAATTAGTGGATTTATGAAGTTCTGTAAAGAGAGCCTTGCTGTATGATGAAATAAAGAAGAAAAACCAAGTAAGGGAGTGTAAAAGTGGAATAGAGAATACTCCCTCATGTACATGTATGTTTTACATGTACATTTATATTTACTAAAAAGGACTATTATATACAATAAATGCTAATTCCAGTAGGGAATGAAAATTTGAAATTATCTAAATATAAACTGATTTCTGCAATTGCAGCTCTTCTTCCAGAAGTATCCCTTTTTTCCTTCTTCTGCTGGCTCAACCATATAAAATGCAGCCATACACACAGAAATCTCACTTATACCAAAGACTTTGTCATCTAATTCAAAGGATAGCACCTGTTCTGGAGTGGTCAGTTTTACCATTTTTGATACCATGAGTAACTTCCAATAGTTCTCTTACTTTTCTTCCTTCAGCTTATTTTTTAACTTGAGAATAAAAAGTTCCTACAAATGTAGGCAACGACTGATTATTATGAAGCCATGAAATAAGCAGCCACCATAATTGATTTTAAACCTATTCTGTCATATAACTCACTTTGGTAAACACGCTTTTACAGCTTAGCCCCTCTGGTCAAGCTCTCACTTCTGAAAGTCAGTCTGTCAGGGGCAGACTCCCTCCAACAGCATGTCTCTGAGAGGTACCCAACCAACAGTAGTCTCACTTGAGTAACCACGCTTCTACAGATGATGTCAACCCAGTTATACCTCTGAGAGTTCACCAATTCCTGAACTTTGTGCTTCCCTAACTTCTTAAATAGTATAAGACTGGCAATGTGTTCTGCTTGAAAACACTGTGTCTGACTAGCATCTCTTACTATGACAAGCAATAAATTAGCTTTGTCTTTTTATTTCAGATGTTGAGTGATGGTCTCATTGGACAGTTTTGGAGGTTCCACTGAGATTATTTTGAAGACCCTCATTTGGCAGCATTCCAGGAAACCCTGAGGCCAACAGGTACACTCATAGGACACCTTGTGCCAAAATTCTGTTTACTCTTCAGATATGTTGTCAAGTGAGTCATTTTCAACCATAATCTGATCTCTGACTAGTTAGTTACATTGAGTTCATGTTGCTGACTTTATTTTGTTATTCTAGGATTTGTAACCAAATATGTCTTTCTTTAGGCCTAAATCTTTGTACAGAGCAATGAGATCTTTTGGTTTAGAGATATAACTTTTGCCAAGTAATTAGACCTAGGTCTTTGTATGAGATCATTAGACCTTTTGTTTCGGAGAGGTATGCCATTTGAGAAATGGGTTTGGGTTTTTTGGGGGTTTTGTTTGTTTGTTTGTTGCCATTAACCTACTTATTCTCCTGCTGCTTGCCTTGCTTTTGCTGCTGTTTATCTATATGTACAAAGTCTTGTTTCATGTGTTTTTGCTTTGTCCTGGGTTGTTTTGTTTCTTTTGAATGTGTAAGGGAGTGTTCCATAGAGAACAGGTTGGAGGATAAGCCTGATAAGTTTTTAATTCAATGCAAGCCAGACTTAAGGGCTAATAGTTAGAGATCTGTTAGACCAGCAATCAATTTGTAAAAAAAAGAGTTTGCCATACTTTGTTTATGGTCCCCTATAAAGCCTTCATGAAGGCACCCTCTCTTGTTAATTTGTTCACTTTGTTTTGTCCTTGCTCAAGAGTCAAGGATTGTCAGGTTGTTGATGGTATGGCGCCTTACCAGTCTCTGCTTGGTTGGGGAACCCTAATATCCTTCAAAAGCCCACATTGTAGACTGACTTCAGTGGTCTGTCTTTCTTGTGTGTTATGGGTTTATGTATGCCAAAATCTCTTGCTCCTCCTGGAAGAGCTTCTATTTCTTTTTAAGAAGCGCTGTAATCTAACTTTTGCACTTTTCTTGATAAACAGCCCCCCAAGTTTTTTTGACTTAAAATAATGATGTCAAGTTTAGCATGTCCAAATCTTTAAATTAATATCATTAAGAACTTTAAAAATATTAAGAGACAAAATACCAAATAATCAGTAGTCAACTTCTTTAAATTGTCATGCTAAGACCTCAAAAAAATTCTAATGCAAGACAATCTCTCTCAAACATTTTGAAACGTGTTCACTTTGCATTTCTCTTTTGTTTTTGACTCAGCTTTATTTGGCTTTCTAAATGAGTTATTCTTTTTTCAGGGTTTTCTCAGGGAAAGAACATTTATGTTATAAAATTTCTAGACCAGAAGGTTGAATTAAAATTCTTATATAGAGCCAAGTTAAGGGACATAACTAAAAATTTTCCTAAACTTTGGAATACAGGCAGAAATTTGGTACAGAATTTAATAATTTGTTACACAGTTAATTTCCTCTATTACATATTTGTACCAAATAGTTTCTCTAATGCTTAGCATCTCACATAGGGAAGATGCTTAATAAGCAGAAAGATAGAAAAGATTTAAATCATCCAGTTATATAAACAAAAGAATTTGTCTTAAGAGAGCAATAAAAATGAAAAATTGACGACAGTTAGACAACTTTAGAAATAATTATTTAAAGGGAAAAAAATTGAAAAAAGATTCAAATTGTAAACAAAACAAAAATGAAAAATATACTTCAGAAAATATTCTAGAAGCTGGAGTAAACCCACAATTAGAGAGATGTATCCTCTCTTGTCATAAATGGGATCAAATCTGAAATAAGGAATTTAATAATAAAAAAGAAAGTAAAATATAAAATTTCCAATCTAGGAAATATTGCCGGAGCCTTAGGAAGTAAATAAGCTGAAACTCAGTAATGTTTGGCTCACTAGTTAAAAAATAACTAAAAAGTTTTTGTTCTCTAAAATTTGGGAGCCTGTGGATAGGAAAACCTGTAGATATTGCAAATACAATGGTAATTGAAAGAATTAATGTTCCATATGGGCTAAGACATAGAAGGACAATTATCCAACATGTGTCCATTGTTGCTGCTCCAGGGCGACATTAAACCCAGCACTTCCCTTTCCTTCTTCTAAACTCTCAAAAGGACTAATACAGCTTTTTTGTTGCTATGGAGCTATCATGTTTACCCTTAATCTCCTTACGATAGAACACCAGATCCCTAAGAATAAAATCTTAAAGATGTTTGAAAACTAAGAAAGACTTTCAATACAAAAAAAGAGAGAGAAATTTTAACTTAAAGTAAAAATGACTGTGCCATGTGGTGAAAGAATATAACAAAAGACAAATTTGAGGGTATATAGTAAATTTTGGAAGGTGTGAGGAAAAACAAGGTTTATGTGCCTTGGCTTATTGAAAGCCCTAAAATAATGAAAATTTCTAAGAATCCTAAGTCCTTTCCTGAGTCTCAACCTGTAATTGATACTTTGGAATCATGATCAGAAGGGCATTCCTTTCTTTTCTGTGACACAATTCATGCAAATTTAATAGGTAGGGATTTACTTTGCAAATGGAGCCACTAGATAAAATGAACTGTAAAAGGATTATTTCTTAAAATCCCAGAAATTTTCTGACACACAACAAAATTATAGCTGATAGGGCTAATAATATTCCTCCACTATGTATGACCTAAGAAATCACTGAAGAAATAACTGGTCCCAGAATCCCAATGGGCAAAAGAGTCTATGAACACAGGCAGATTAATTAAAACAGAGCCCTTAAAAGTTTTCCTGGATTATATAAACTTTTCTTTTTTTGTACAATCATGAGAAAGTTAGACCATGCTCTAAAGGTCTTAACTCACCAACATGGCACATGCTTAAGACCTATTGCCTGTTATAAAGCCAGTCCCTTAATTCAGTAGCCATTACTAAGCTGAGTTCCTCAGAACGATTACGGGCCTCAACTAAATACATGAAAAACATCTTCAGATCTTGTACTGTGGTTACCTTTAAATCCAATGTTAGCATATATAGTAACTCTTTATTGCAAATGAAAAACACCTATCATATTTATACTAGTTAATTAATAAGTTATAAATACTGATGTTTTCTTCTTCTCATGTTATTATCCTTTGGTGAAACACTCTTATTCTGGGACCTCTACAACCCTTACCCAATAGAGTCTGATTATGTTTCTAAAATTTAATGACCAGAACAGAATTTTTGCTCACTCCAGTATCAGCTGCTGACTTAATATTCTTTGTTGCTCCAATACTGACAATATTATTTGTTGATGGGTTTTATAGCAAAAAAAAAACAAAACCCTACCAATGGACTAGAATAAAGATTCCAGAAATAAACTCTCATGTATATGGTCAAGTGATCTTCAACAGGGGTGCCAAGACCATTCAATGGGGAAAGGACAGTCTCTTCAACCAATGGTGTTGGAAAAACTGGATATCCACATGCAAAGGAGTCAAGTTAGGCCCTAACTATACACCATATACAAAAATTAACACAAAAATGTATTAATGAACTAATAGAAGACCTAAAACTAAAATCCCTAGAAGAAAACTTATGGAAAAAGCTTCATGACATTGGTCTTGGCAATAGTTTCTTGGATATGACACAAGAAAAGTCACGGGCAGCAAAAGGAAAAATAGACAAGTGGGACTACATCAACCTTAAAAACTTTTGTGTGCCAAAGAACACAATCAGCAGAGTGAAAAGGGAAAAAAAATTTGCAAATTAGATATCTGATAAGGAATTAAGATCCAGAATATATAAAGAACACCTACAACTAAGCAACAAAAAGTCAAATCTGATTAAAAAATGGACAGAGGACTTAAATAGATATTTCTCCAAAGATAATATATAAATGCATGACAAGCATATATAAAAGATGCTCAGTGTCACTAATTATGATCATCACAGAGAAATGCAAATCGAAACCACAATGAGATATCACCTTACCTCTATTATAATGACAAATATAAATTTAAAAAATAGAAAATAACAAGTGCTGGTGAAAATGTAGAGAAATTGAAACTCAGTGCATTGTTGGTAGGAGTATAAAATAATACAACTGCTAAGGAAATCAGTATGGAGATTCCTCAGAAATTATAAATAGAACTATCATATGATTCGGCAATCCCATTCCTGGGTATATATCCAAAAGAATTGCAAGCAGGATCTCAAAGTGATATTTGCATACCCATTTCATAATAGCATTATTCACAATAGCTAAAAGGTAGAATGGATAAACAAAATGTGCTATATGTATACAATCAAATATTACTCAGCCTTAAAAAGGAAAGAAATCGTGTCACATACTATAACATGGATGAACCTTGAGGACATTATGCTAAATGAAATAATCCTGTCACAAAATAATAAATACTGTGTGATTACACTTATATGAGATCGAAAGTAGTCAAGTTCATACAAACAGAAAGTAGAATGGTGGTTACTAGAGGTTGGGGGGAGAAGGAAAAAGGAAATTGTTATTATAATGGGTATGAGTTTCAGATTTGCAAGATCAAAAAGTTCTGGAGATCTATGAATATCCTTAACACTACTGAACTGTTAAAAATAGTTAAGATGGTAAATTATATGTTATGTGTTGTTTTTTTTTACCACGCGCAAAAAGACCAGACTTGTTTAATAATGAGTAGAACGTTCCCTCTCATAAAATCCAATTCCTTACCAAATTGTTCAAACTGTTCAAATGACTGAACTGTGACCTTCTCTAGGGCATTTCAAATTACTAAAATAAAATTGTAAATATATAAATTAATAGCTGGTATTCTTTCAAAATAATTCACTTTTTAAAACTGCTATAGAAAAAAGGTTTTAAAATCTTAGGTACTCTTTAAAAATAAATAATAAATACATTACTTACTGAGTGCCTTTGTGATACCTAAAATAATTGCTGTAATAAAAGTTGAAACTCAAGGTAAAAGAAGTATTATAGAAGTTGGTACATCACGCTGTAGATACCTTAGAAATATTTCAGAAGTACTATTAAAGTATTTTACCAGAACAGCAAACTAGATAGACTGGCAAAAGTCCTTAAA